TCACAAGTGAGAATTATCTGAGTTTTGATGTAAATGGAAAGCAATTATTCTCACTCTCTTTCTCTTTCTTAAACATAATTTTAACATAAGATTCATATTCCGATATATTTAATCTTTCTTTATATTAAATTATATTAAACAAAGTGTATCAAAAGATAATGAGAAAGATATTTATCAGTCTAAAAGAAAATCAACTTTAAATTAATAATATATGCGAATTTTGAAACTTCATATTGTACCTACATAAAAAAATGTCCTATTACGCATCAATGATCACACGAACAACGTACCACGTTATGTAAGTCAGATATTGTCAGATATGGGTTGAAAAAATGTATCGTACTGTAGTGCTGCAGTAGTACGGATCAATGATATTCGTGGACATGAATCGTTAACATAAACTGAATTCTTAAGAAATATACGAATATATACGTACAATAAATCATTCGCTATGATGCTTATTCGGAAAAATATTGTCAATCCGATATTCTACGTAGAGTATCGGATTCCCCACGAATATCAGATATAAAATAAAATATATTCGAGATACATTCTTATAATAATGATTGTGTATTACGTTACACACGGCAGGAGAAATAGGAAGTTTTATGCTAGAAATAATAGCTGATACGATCGGGTCATACCTGTGGATCGTCACTTTCGTGAAAGTCTCCGGTGTCATGACGGGAAAGCAACAGAGTCCTCGATCACCAGGACGAGTCCTCCTCGCCATATCACTTACGACTTTCGCGTTGCACAGGGAAAACACAATCGGCACGCTAACCAATCTCGCGCGCGCGGCTATCGAACGATCGACATAACGTGTCAAGGACGTCCGGAGACGTCCGGCGTCGCCTCGAAGGTCACGGAAGGACCTTTCGAAACGTTCCGATGACAGGACGCGTTAAATCCTGTCTCCCTGACGACGCGTGCCGCGCATTGGCCGATTTCCAAATTGCTCGCTTCGATATCGGGGGCCGATATCGAATATATACTGTTCGCCGGGCACCGCCACAAGTGGTTGTGTCCTGCTGCCACCGGGAAAACACCTGATCCTGCGCTCCGTAAAGTGAAAAAGACTGGGACGAGTTCGTGGGGGATAAGTATGCTATATACGCGAGAAAACACCTTTTGTTCACGCGAAGATCTTGACAGTCTCGGTCTTAAATCCGGATTTGCCGATCGGAAGAAGAGCCACACCACTCCCCACCGATCAACGTGTTTTCATCGCTTTAATGGGCAAACTCGAACGGTGTCATCCTTCCGCAGGAAGACCCGCGCATCACCCTCCTGACAGCGTGGCTCGCCAACGAGCCCGTTGTTCGTTTGATCGCCCGGAGGATCGATCCTCCGACGCAAGTAAACACGGATGAAGAGAAGAAAAGTGGGATGGGCAAGAGGATTTGCTGCCGCGCACCTTCGATTAAAGCACGAGGGATTAAGCGTGTCGTTCGATCGCGGAGCAGGGTCCTCTCCCCTTCGGGAGTGATTCTTTTCTTTCGCTCGAATTCGATCGTCGATCCTCCGGGACGGCGAGACAAGCACTTGTCCCTGAGTTCAACAATTATTTTCGATGTCTTCGTCTCAATGTAAAGCGCGTCCTAGCCCGGCTATCCTTGCGCCTTTCTGTAAAACGACGGGAGCACCTCGCGCACGAAGCGGAGCCGCGACGAGTGTACACACGCTACACGCTCGTCCTTAGCCGAGGGGGTGTCTCGCGAGGGCTAGCTTTCTGTTTTCCAGCCTACCGACTGCCGTGCACCCCCGCGTTATTCCGCAGGTACTAAACCGGCCACGATGACGCCTGCGTCCTCGTGCGTCGCGACGACGGTTGTCCGCGACCCCCCGCGTCCGATCGCGCATGACGTAGCAATAAGGGCGCGAATTTAGCGCAACATTCGAGATAGGGAACACCTGATAGCGAATACGCCGACTTGCTGGCTGTCTCAAGTAATGAGAATATCTACTACGATTACGTAGCAGAGGTAAATTTTTTACGTTTGATTCGAATGGGTTCCAGGTTCAATATGAAGGTGAAGAAACCTCGTCTACGTTTGTTCTAATTATATGTGGAAATGAAATTAATAAAATCCTCAAATTGGAAAAAAAGCTCGTTAAAAATAAAAGAGAGATAAAACGCAAGATTATATAAGTATATGTGTATGAAATATGACATAATAATATGCGACGTATGAAATAGAAAATAGTTATAGAAAGGATATAAAAAATTAATTATAAAAAAATAAGTTTTAGGAAGCAGAGCTTACTGATAATTTTTGTGTTTAAATCTTAAAAAAAAAAGTTATACTAAAAATAATTTTTTGTATGATGGGAACAGTATGAGATACGATACCATTGACAAATATCATTGATTCATACTACTGTAGCATGTCGTAATCCGATTATAAAGATCTCACAAAAAAGAGATAAATTTATTTATATCTCTCTCCTTCGTTAAATAGTGTAAGGATTTAAAACTTTTTATTATTCTTTTGTCGCTTAAATTTTCGCGAGAATAAATATTAACGAATATCTATAAATAATATTCATGCTTAAACGATGTAACGACGCGACAATCGATTTTAAATTTATAAAAAACAAGTTTCGACTTAAATTCCCGTTAAATGAGACGGATCAATAATGCTGCGTCAAGGTAGCTTTGTTCATTACGTCGTTCATTACGGTACAAAATTTAACATGTAAAACATAACACATGATGAGATTAAAAAGAAAGGTATAGGATGTTTTCAATTGAATCAAACAGAATAGTGAGTATTTGAGACTAATAAACGGGAAACAAAATTAATACATATTGACCTTGAAACAAATAAAAATTAAAATGTGCAATGTGTCCTATGATTTCACGGTGATATTATTCCCGTGTAATTTAATCATCAAATAAAAATGATTGCCGTTTCAAGAAATAGATCCTACAATGGCAACACGGATTGTCTGAAGTATATTGAGAATTATAAAATCATTCTCGTAAAGAATCGCTGTTATCAGAAGTCAAAAGTGAGCATGGATGGAACTTTAATTGGCATACGCTGAAATTCGCTGTACGAACGCCGCGATATAAAATAATAATACGCGACCCCTCCGCGCGCAATAATTGTTATCGATCAACAAAATTCCTTTTAATCACTTACCAGTCTGGGTGCTGCTGTCAAATAAGGTGCTGGACGTTTCAACTGTCATCGACGCGAAAGTGCCATCCGTGATTTGAGCCGAACTGTCTCTTCGTCCGCGAAATCTCTGAGCCTGCAAAACACACAATACATAAATTTCTAATAACCAGATTAATTTAACTCATCAAATTAAATTAAATAAAATTTAAGTCATTAATTAAACGTATTAAAAGAATTTAACAACTTTTTATTAAAAGAACAAAGAATTTCTTTTATTTTTTTTTTATGTAAAAAAGCTAATTTAAGGTTTCTTTTCCTTTTAATACTTGATTTTGAAGGGAATATTTAAAGAAAACATTTTGTAAATATTGTTTAAACTTATATTTCTTCTCAAGAATAATTTTGCCTTATAAAATTCCCTTTTGAAATGAAGAAAAAGCTTAGAAATTTAGAAATTAAGGAGGTATCTATTCGATGTCTTCCATCTTGGAAATTTTTATAAAAATTCTCTGCCGACTTGATAAAGCTTCTTTTGTTAATAGAAATTCGAATGGTTACTTTTCTTAATGCGTTTATAGCGTAAGACGGGGTTCATTACTGCGAATTGTCAAAAGAAACAAACCACGTCGTCACTTTGAGAGCTCTGTCGTCTAAAGTTGCGGCATCGTATCATCTCTTCGGTGGTACTCTGCCGTCGAAAACCGCGCGCTATCAGAATCTCTTCCGTGGTGGATTGTCGTCGTACGATTTTCGGCGCACGGTGAATATTATCAGGTGCGCGGGCGCAAGGACTGGGCTCTCTGGACGAACACGAGGAACTATCCGGCGATCTGCAATACAAAGTTCAATATGAGACACGTTCAATATGAGGATCGCCTAATAGTGAATTCAGAATTTAAATTCAGATTTATAACGTTTTAATTAATTTAAGTGAACTTCATCTTGCAATTACAAAATAAATAGAAAACATCTTAATTATAAATTAATTCCATTACTATTTTTCTTGTTTAGTAAAAATAATTCGCAATAATATAGGTATCTAAAAATATTATACGTGTATGTATTATAAATTTATAAAAATAATTTGTAAAAAAATATTAAGTAATTATGTAACAATATTTAACTACACAAAAACTGAAGCGTACACAACGTTAAAATAAAATATTTAAAAATAAACAATTTAAAGTGTCGATAATAATTTCTCAGAACACGAGTCTATCGAAGCATTGGTGTTCTTACTATACGTTAAAAAAATCAATAGAATGTAGGTACCGTGGTGGCCGACCAGCCATGGAAGTGGACTGTCTTCTTAAACGACCTTTTCTCTGTCTGATAGGGCTGATATCTCTCTTATCGGTTCTATCAGGACTCAGATGACTTTTTGAATCGCGACGTCGCAGGTAGGAAGCAGAATCCGGGCTTAAGGAGTCTCTCCGTGCTTTCCGACCTTCAACAAGATAAATGTAAGCTGTCATTTATTCAATTATAGAAATATCTTCTTCAATACTTTTGCCAATCATTATTTATATATAAGAGAAATTTTTGCAAGACGTTTAATTTACAAAAGGTTTGAATTTTGACTTATTGCAATTAGCAAAGTTTAAAAAAATTTGACAATATGTTTTAAGGTAATTGTAAATAAGGTAATAGATAATAAGATGAATTACAGATAATGTACAGAACTTTGCTTTTATATATCGTACAGAGAAACAAATCAGCTGTAACAGCCGTTGGTACCTACCCCCGTCATCAGGATCCGCTGATAAAGTTGGCTGGCTGCCACGACGTCCTGTTGGTGGCAACGATTCATCAATTGCTGCTTGCTGGCGTATCAACCTCGACAATTTACTCGGCGAGACTTCTTTACCCTTTGCGAAATTACACTGTCGAAAATATCGATGAACGTTATAAAATCTACGTTATAAAATCTACGTTATAAAAGCTACCCTCAAGTGAACTTAAAGATCTTTAATCAAGGAAGCAATGAGCTCACTTCTCTCTTATTATAATTATTAAATAATTATTAAAAAAGCAGTTGAAAAGCTTTCAATTTTTCATTAAATATTGGTCAAGGCTTAGCTTATATCTCATCGCAAACTAAGTTACTAGCTGCTACCCTTTGCCGCTAGAAAAAGACTTTATCGATAACCGCTACCTGCGTGGTCGAGTCTCTTCGAGTGTACGGATGCGTAGGTGTGTTGTTGACGTTCGGTGAGCCGACCGGGCTGGAGCTACCGGAAGTCGAAGTGCCGGGAAGCGGAAGGCTACTTCCGGCCGTCGGTGAGATCGCCGGTGGCGTTACCGAGGACATAACGATGGTCGGTGGGCTCACGTCCAGGCTGGCTATCACTGGCGAGGTGTTGATCGACACCGTCGTTGTCCTCGTTGATTCGGTCGCCGTTGTAGTGACCACGGACGTCTTGCCGTTGACTATCAAGGACGACACCGTCATCACCGTTTTTGTATCGATCATTGTGGGACCTGTCGGTTGAGTCTTGGCTTCGAAGCTACTCGATCTCTCGCTTCTTTCCGTGGAGTTTCTCGGAGCCTCGAGATGTTCTCTACGATGGGAGAAAATTAATGCGCAAGATGCGTTTTATTATTCTATTAATTGCTCAAAGTCCAAAACATGAATAATATGTTATTCTAGATACTGAAAAATATCTAGTACGTTATATTATACATAACGTACGTATACAATTCCTTACGTATCAATTATTTTGAAAGCAATTAATTAGAAGTCACTTAAATATTTCAGTTATATTTATTAGGTATGTACTTATGAAGATCTAATTGACTATTGTAATTTAACTAACCGAACCGTATTACTGCCCGCGCTGTCTGTGCTGGAAGCGCTCGGTCTTTGATCATTTCTGTAATACTTGGTAGGCGTGACGCCACCTCCATCGACAGACTGTTGAGATTGCCTACGTCTGTGATGACGACAATTGTGCTTACGGTCGCCGGGACTCTGAGATTGTCCGGTAACCACCGAATCCCTCCTGGATCTCGCGCTCTCGCCCGAACCGCGACGAGAGTTTCTCGATTCACCCGAGCCTGCAATAATATAGTAATTAACAAGATGCATATGTACAATTCGTTAAATAATTTATATATATATATATATTTCTTTCATAAATGATTGTCTTTATATCGTTGAATAAAGTTCACTTAAAGTAACGAAATCCGTATAATATAATTTAAAAGATTCCATACGAGTCTATATACATGCACACGGGTTAGATTAGGTATCGCCATAACCGTTTGGACGAAGTACGCCGGTCGTCTTTTCCAAGTCGTTTTTTCCACACTCGACTACTCTAAACCGAACTATAGCGAGCAATGAAACTTTATTTTTCCAATATAAAATCCGCGATTCCATATTCAGGACACATCGATCCCCCAAGGTCTACTTTCAGCGATATCATGACTCGCGAAATTCGCGAATCCGTTTTCGCTGAATCCACGAAACGAGGGACGACCGGGCGAGGGTGTCGAGGGTTTCTATGTAGCTCAGTAGCTGCAAACGCGCTATTTTTAGACTAGTACTGGTATTGAAGCGAGATGCTTTCTTCTCGCTTCTGAAAATGTTACCTCGACGTGGCGTGGGCGAGATGACCGTGGGTGGCGGCTGCGGCAACAGCACATCCTTCTTGCTCCAGAGTCTGGCTATGTCGTTCTTAAGGTCACTGATGGCGGAGTCCCGTCTGGACTTGCTCGACACTTGACTCCCGCTCCGAATCCCGCTGTCGACCGAGCTCTCCCGCCTCTTTCGCAGACTAACCAGGTGGCTGGCATCGGTGGTGGTTTGGCGCGACCACGGCAGTGACTTGGCGATGTCCGCCAAGGTCTCCCTTCGGCAGAGCTTGTTGCTGCGGCTGCTTTTCGTCGAGGTACCCCCGCCGCCCCATTCACGCAGAATGTCGGTCAGCTGAGCAAGGCTCGATCGCCGACGACCCTGGTTCGTCGGCGAGCAATCCTGAGTCTCGTTCGGTGGCGAGATCGACGTGATCTGCGCCGCGGAATCTCGCCTGCCTGTTCCTACGAACAAACGCGTTCGACTAAAGAGAATCGTCGTTCAATAAATTGTAAGATGATGTCGACTTGTTATCGAGTTGCTACAAGAGAAGTCTGGGTGCAATTGTAAGATGATATCGACTGTCGACTTGTTATTATAGAAGAAGTCTGATGCAACGGTAATGAGAGTTTAATGGCAGTTAAAGAGTAAATTATAAATAGTGAGGTATATTATGTCTTGCGAATGTGTAACTGAGAAAATTATACAAAAAATTAAAAAAAAAAATAAAATATATTAATTAAATTTCTTTATACTTAAAACATTCGTTTGTACTATAATTTTCGTAATATTAAAAAAAAAATGCGTTTTGCTCGAAAGAGGCGGAAAAGAATACAAAGAATATAAATACCATTAACTTTCAGACTTTAATATTCCCGCAGAACGCACACGTAGCCCATTACAATCCGCATGAAAATAAATTCAAAGCACTTTTGCACGAGGAAGACCAACGAATTTCCATAATGTGCTTTCGTGCGAAAAATTCCTGGTTACGGGCTAAAAGCGTGTGAGCGTGTGAGCGTGTCGAGCGTGTCGAGCGTGTCTATGCATACCCAGGCGTTGCCTCAGAGTGGACTCCTCCGCCTGCTCTCGCATGAGGTCGTCCCAGCCATTGCCGCCCTGCCATATCAGCTCGACCTGATGACTCAGGATCGGCAGGTTGCACACGAAGCAGATCGCTGTCATGGTCCTGAAAAAGAGGAAGCACGCGGTCTCGGTTTAAGCCGGCAGATAAGCGCGACGTCCGCTCGCGCGCAAGCGGTACGGTACGACAGAACTTTCAACGGAAGAAGAAGGTGCATCTCTCAACGATATGAAGTTATGTGAAACCAGGCCATGCCAACAGAGCGCTTAAAAGTGATATAATTTGTCGAAGTCGTGGTTTCTCTGATAAAACCCTAAAAAAAAAACCAAAACGGTGAACGAGAGACAAAATTGTCATGCTCGATTTTGCTTCAAGCTATTTTCCGGTATTGCAAGATACAGCGGGCGGAGGCGCGCCAAGTATTGATATATACAGATGCGAGCCTCTTCCTGCCTCCTCTTATCGTCGCGAAACCACGCTTCGTCTACTTCGCCCACTTCGTAGATACGATCGAAAGAACTTATAACGAGATATCCAAGATAATACAAACGTAGCTAAGTAGAACAACACTCTAACAATGTACGATAGACACAAGAACGCAAGTGTAGTAGTTGAAAACGGGAGTGGCAGTTGTGTAAGCTCGACTATGTCGACTTCTGATAGAAACGCATGAGAATAATCATGATGGATCTCTCAGGTTTACGTTAGCGCGAATGTGACAATTTTAAAACAGCGTGAAATACTTTTGAAAAATTTTGATACGCAACGAGCAGAAATTAGATCTTGCAACAAATATCATAAACATTCTCACATTAACATTTAGATATTCAGAAAATCAAAGAAATATTTAACATCAATTTGTGATCACGAACACGACACTTATAGATATAAAATATTGAGAAAAAAAAAAAACAATTTTTTCACGTTTTATCTTCAGTTTTAAAACACCAGACACACACATTCGCGCTATATAAAATTACTGCGGCCGTGATACATGCCGTTTAATGTTTAATATATGTAAAATTGAATTCTTTACGTCGTCCGGAATTAGCATAGATTTAAATATGAATAATGTAGACTTCGGGAGCGTCGAGTAAACGCGAGAACGCATTCTAACATATGCAAAGCTCGAGATCGTCGAGATCACACAAGTCGATATCAGCCTCCAGTTTAGAAATGTTACCGCAGCGTGTTTCGCGAGCGCCGATGAACGTCATTCCAAAAAGCATGGATGCATAAAGAAACTCGAGATATATATATATTATACAATATAATATATATATGTATATACAATTACTATATAGAGCGAGAGAGCCGCATATATATATTTTTTTCTCAATGTATACAGCACACACTGAAAACTTTTTTAGAAGGCATATATCTGATTTGATGTTTCGACCTGCGTCGAAGTCTGGGGCTCTGCTTCGACATCGCATGGCAAGGGCCTGGCCGACCTGCAAAAGATACACACACACAAACTTTTTTTTTTTCGATCGACCGCTTCGATAGTAAAGTAGTTGATGTAGAGAGGCATCGCACTCTCGATGATGCTGTATCCTGAAAAGGCGCATGATACTCGAGATAGCGATGATCACTTTTAATTACAAGAGTCACATTGTTTTTATACGTAAACCGACGCCACCACCGGTTTCTTACAAGCGTTATCGATAATCGATGACGTGGTAAAGAGACTGGACAATGGGAGTTATGATAATGCAATGCGAGAACATTGTAAATAAATAACGTATGTTGTGACTAGACAAAATGTAACATGATATAATGTTTTATTTATACATGTATAATGTATATGTGTGTGTGTGTGTGTGCGTGTGTGTTTCGTAAAATAATCCTGCGCATATCATCAAAATGTTTTAACAGTTGTTTAACAGTCAGCCGGATTACTATGATATCAAATTAAATATGTTTCATCGTGTATATGAGAAGAAATGCGTGTTTAATTATTAAATCTATTTTTAAGTACGGAATTTATCATAAATGTTGCGTGAGAATTTCCGCATCACTTTGGCTCTCACCTCCGGTTTCATCCACATCCGATACTCGTACATTAAGTGAAATTTGATAGAACTGCATTCCCGGCGTCGAATATACGCGCAAACTTTAACGCTACAAATTTTACTCAAATACGCACTTTTGTCTATAATCTTCACACAATTCCCGCGAGAGATCGATTCGCTACAACCTTTGCCATATTAATAACGTTCCCACTGTGAAACCCCCACTGTGTCATAATGGTATTACCTCGTTAAAACTTAACTGTCGCGTAGCCTTATGTTAAGAGAAATCGCAAGTCGACCAACTCCAACTCATTCGTATGCTAATACAGCCGGTCGTTAACGGCGAAGTTTAACGGCCTGTAAGTATAAGACGAATTAAGAGAAGTAATTCAATGGGTGACAAAAGAGAAAGCGTTTCGGTAAAGCGCAATTTCGCCAGAAAAACCGTAGACTGAAAAAAACTGCAGCTTGTTTGAAAGCCGGACTCGAAACGTGAGCGGACAACAATTAATTAATCTCCCTGTCAAAGCCACAGGGCTTACTTATGCACAAAGTGACCTAATTAGCGATTCACTTGCCCCAATTACTTCGCTCCGCCAAACAAACGAGCATCAGTAACGAACTCACGTTTAATATCGATTGTCAATAAGTTTGGACACAAAACTTCTTTGAAAATACGAAAATTTTGCATATTAGAAAGTTTAAGGTAATATTACTTGTAAATTACTCAATTAAAACTTGCAATTTTGTGATTCTCATACTCTTTGTTCTCAATTTGAGTATTTTATTTCATTTCCTTGATTTAATATTAGTTTTAATTAATGCTGCAATTAATACCGAGTAAAAATGGGCGGAACGTGCCCTGGATTCTTTAAAATCCTTTCTCTTGAAAAATTCCTGGACGCGAGTGTTGTGAAACAATTTTCTGTCTACCGTCTATGTAGCTGTAGGTGGTCTGGTAACTGAGTATTAAATGTGTAGCGTGTGCAAGACAAATAAAAATTTAAATAAAATGGAGAAATTCAAAGGAAATACATAAGAAAGCGTTAACAATATTATTGTTGTAAATAATCTATTTTGGAATACAAAAAATTCCCTAGTACAAATCTCAACAAGAAACAGAATTTTTTCCCTGTTTTTTTTTTTAGTAATGTTATTTGAAGCGGGAACGTACAGATGCAACGCAGATTGCGAACTTTTATTTGCCTGCGTTAAAGCCGCATCCCAAGCCATGCTGAGGTTTGTAAAACGCGAGAAACTACGCGAAAAAGTGCATTATGATAAAGAATATAAAAAGATTGACAGCATAAAAGTTTCAATTTTCCTACTATTAGACACATATAATCATATTAAGTATATTTAATCGAATTAATTAAGGTTTTTATAATGCAGCGTGATAAACGAAGAAATGCGTAACAATTTTTTTGTTGGCCATCGCGATTTCGTGCATTATTAAAGGCGATTGTCGCGGAAAGTGTGATTTAATCAATTTCACAGAACGCTTTTCAAATCGTGAAAGTCAATATTAAAAGTAATGAAATTAACTTATTGATATTTAGAAAAGCAACTTTTAAAAGTTAAGTTGTTTTTTTCATTGCACTGATTTTACATTGATATTGAGATGTATCAAACACATCTTTTTTTTAAATTACAAAGCATATATATGGAATATAAAACTGTCTGGTAAACTAATAATTGTGTGAGAAAGTTTCAGGTATTTAATAAAATTTTTAATAAAAGACTTGTTTAAAATAATTAGAAATAATGGTACTTGGGATTCTTTTTATGTTCATTAATCGTGAAAGATCAAAATTTATTTTGCATTGTTAAAAGAATATTACGTAATTTTAAGAATGCAATTACGGAGATATATTTCTGATTTTTTTTATTAACGAATATTGAGTGAATTATGCGTATAATACACTTCTTCGCGTTATGACTTTTCCTAATGCTCGATTTTAAGATACATTATAGTAACAACCTAACAAGGCATGCCAAGTAGACCATCCGGATCACCACCTCGCGTCACCATAATACGTGGTTTAACGTCACATTGTGGCTTGTATTATCGGCCAGCGAAACGTCATTAATACGACAGCTTTGACATTTCCTGTTTCAACATCCATTGTACGTTAATAACGCCGATTGCGAGAGCTGAGTGGAAAATGGCTTGCGTTACGCGACGATAGAGCGAGACAGAATTATTTGAAAATCAAAACGGAAAATAAAATTCATTTCTGTAAAAAATTGTTTATATTTTCTTGTTATTGCAGCGTCGTATATTTTCAAGAGAAAAATGCTAGGTGGGATGATTTTAAATTATACGAGCAATATTAAAATGAAGAAACTTTTCTTATTCCCGTATTGTGAATTATTATATAATATCCTTTATTATCCTCCAGTTCCGCAATTGTGTGGTGTAACTTATTTACGTAACGTGCATAAAATGAATTACTCGCCTCACGTTAACATTAAAATTATGAACGCGCAATAGATATTCCGCGATATCATATTCGCTCCTAAATGTAATTTTGCGCAACACGACACGCGTGTGTAATTCGAAGCGTCGTAACCAGAAACTACCACATAGGTAGGGTACAAGAAACAGGATTACATATTTCAAAAATTTATTTGAATATGCATTCGTCAGTCGTTGAGTTCTCAATTCAGTCATTGTAAAGCATAAACATGCTTTCATCAACCATGATTGTTACTGCACTTGGGGTAAATTAAATATTAATAATTTCTCTCAAAAAGGAATACAAATACATTTTCGGTACAATAGTAATCTCATTAGTAATATAGCACAAAAATACATGTATCAACAACTTTCTTTCAATGTTCCAACAATAATGGGAATTAACTTTTTAAAACTTGCAGTTATATATAACCAGAAATGAAATGTAGCGATCACATTTTACTTACTTATGCTCCTAATACTAGTTCTTTTCAAAGTTTAAGCCAATGTAATAAAACAAAAACTTGGGAAGCTCATTTTCCAGAATAAAATATTTTTGATATTAAACGTGGAGTGGTTTCGTACATGTTTTACAGCACAAAGTGTTTTGTATTTCGACGATTATAATTTCTCAGACATTACGTTTAGTTATACATATATACAACGGCACGTGGTAAAGTCTCTCGTAATGGCGAGAAATGTCTTAAGACGTGTTTGCTCGAAGGTAATAATAACTCCTAGAATATCGCGAGAGATCACCGTGATTGCGGCCTCGTAAAAACGAGCAAAGTTTATCCGCAGAAGAACTCGCGGAGGACTCGGCAAGGTAGTACCTGCGCAAATTGAAGGACTCCGTTTTCCTTGCATCGCGGATCTCGACGCAGTCCACGCGAAGTACCTTAATAAAATCCGACCCCAAAACTCGTCGGAAGGAAAAACTCATCCGGCATCGTTTCGAAAGCTCATCTACGAACAAGCTGACGGCCAGTAACGGTTAGATGAGGGAGAACGAGATGCAAAGAAAAAAAATACGAAAAAGAGTCATCCTTGAGATAAAATAAATCCTCTCTGCTTTCATCCTGGATGAAAATCGCGAAAGGTTTTCCAGGTGAAAAAAAAGTAGAACAAAGAACGTCCTGAGCAACATTCATCTAGCCTTTCTCGATATTTTTTAATTGACACAGATACTGTTACTACGTTCTTTTACAGTTAAGCTGTAAGTTTTAATTTTACTTGAAAATATTATTACTGTCTTGATTATTCTCTATTTACGCATTGCTTTGTAGTAAACTCGGTAGTAAATGACGTTACATGATGGCATTCATTTATTAGAGAGAACGTGACCTAAAATAATTTTTTGAAATAAACTTTAATATATTTATATAAATTAAAAACATAATTAAAAACATTCTTTAGTGGAAGTCTATGAAAAATACATAATGTAAGTAAAACAACAGAATAATATTCATACAAATGTGGCGGTGCAATGCGAAAATGAGTTTTTTTCGTGCTTTATTCGGAAACGTCAGAAACGTATTACGAGATGGAAACGGCATTCTCCACGTAAATGATGACAAAATGTCCCTTTATCGAGACGGTGCAGTGTGCACGTTTAGTAAACTCGATCATGTCTGCCACGCGTTAAAGCTTTCTATCGAGTTAAATATTTGAGGATGACAGGGAATCTATAATGGAGGTATCAACATATGCTTTACACGGAGATGTTTGTGTGAAGTAGCAAATATTTAAAAAATATTGTTCGAAGAAATGCGATTTTTTAACATGTACAATATAATATATATATTATATACACGTATATATGTACATGCATACACATGTATATGTGTATGTACACACATTATATACATAGATGTATATGGGTAGAAAGTTTTAAGTGTTTTAATTATACTGAATAATTAATACTGTGTGTAGTATACTGAATCTATATAAATGTCAATCAATTTATAATCTATATTAATTGCAACAAAGTATGATTATTACTGCGGAACAAGAATGTTTAATAAAACCCAAGTTTTAAAAATATTGCACAAATTAATCACCTGGGAAAGAAATGAAAATTTTAGGTCGAGTATTTGATTAACTTTTTCACTACTCTTGGAATATGTATGTTTCATGGAATTTCCTTCGTTTCTAGAACGAAGTTTCCGTCCACTCATACATATTTTTAAACTCAAACGACTTCAAACAATGTTACAGAAAGATTGTAGTGTTGAAAGAATTAAAGACTGTTGATATCGTCCAAAAACGTATAACATATGTTGAATCGCTCGCTAAATGATTTAAATTAAAATAAAATTAATGTATCACCAATGAGAAGTGTAAAATAAATGGAGGATAAAATAGATCGAAAGGAAAAGAAAGAGAGAATTATATGTACGAGAACAGAGCAAAATACCAAGAGCATCGCTAGCCTTTTAATATTGAAATTGGCATTACAGCCGACGATAATTGCTTCCAAGAGAACTCCCTTGACTCGCAAAAGACCCTTTCGTGCGAGGATCTATTTTAAGTGTTTATTTTCTCTATCGGTCACGGTTCTCCAATTTTCTGCTAACCCTGACTGATGTTTTCTACATATATCGTAGGATAGTGGTTTCCACCAAATCAAGCCATTCGAGGCAAATCGAAAGTAACTTATACGAGGGTAGCGGAACGAACGGTCCATATTCATTTCCAGTCGACGACATGCGACTCGCGATTATTTCCTATCAAGGGATCACATTTCGTGATACAATCGTTCGTGATGGACGTAACAATACGAGGGCTAGATGTTAGATACTCGCCCCAAGTGGTCGTATCTAAGGCTTGATACTTGGGAAAAATACTGATCTACAGGTGGGCGTTAAAAGATGAAAGACATGACGGCGCCGTCGGTAAATATCTTCCTCGAACATCTCCACCATCAGGAAATTCTATCACGAGCAATTTTTTGTCTGGGGGATCTACTGTCACAAGTCAGTTACTGCGAAAAATATTGTGTACAATTGTTCATCGATATCCTCTCGAGCTTCGCAAAATTACAGGAAAAGTGACAACAAAGTACAATATTATCTGAAAAATGGTTACACGCTAAACATATCGATTATCTATCACTATTTTATGATGCTAAATACACGGTTTGTGACAGAAAGTTAAAAAAACCAGCGGGAGAAGAATTTCAATTTCCTACACAAATATTTCCTCTTTAAACGATACTATGTTTATCACAATATTTCCCCTCGGAATCGTTCGAGGAGGAAAATCCATTCGGTCATCCTGAATAGCCAAAGAATCAAAAGATGATATTTGGAATACGGTGATGACGTCCGAGGAAAAATCCGTGGCTACCCGCGCTTCCGGAGGATTTATCCGGAGAGATAAAACACGAGGATAAGACGCGTAACAACGTTTTCTTCGAGGTTGGACAAGAAGCGATCTCGCTGACGAATGAACAACGTTTCAACGTCGCGCGAAAGTCCCAGAAGGCTCGTGGAATACGATCAATGGTAAAAGAGGAAGGAAACGAGGGACGCGCATCGAGCCACGTGGATCAAATACGAGGAGTGAAAATCGGACACACTGTTGCTCGACGCCGAACAAAAGCTGCGAAGGGTATTCCCATAGCAACCATCGCGACAACGTTGTTCGCTAGGAGTAGGAGAGGAGAAAGAGCGAGACGAGCGACGTGAAACGGAGACGTCGCGATGACGAACGGAACGAGGAGGAAGGAACTGAAGGATCCGCGGAATTCCCGAGGGCGAAGGAGAAACTAATATCCATTCTCTTGTACCGGCAAGCAGAATTTATTGTCCGCGCGAAGACCGGATTACGGATCAAGCCCTAACCAAATGAAACTTTCTCTCTCGCCGCAGCATATATAAATATAAATATCAGAGATATTTCTGTCCTTTCTCCTCAGTATTACATTTAGTGCTATAAATACTAATAAATCGGTGCTACTCAACCTGCGATCTTATTGCACGCTGCTTCACATTTATATATCTCACTGTACGAATAAATCGAGGAATCTATTTGTGATTTGTAAGTTCAACGGCACGTCTCCCTTCGACACAGCGGAAATGTAAATATATAAACCAAAATTGCTCGATCTACTTACTACGATAGTCGCGTATTTCAGAACAAGTGACATAATGTAAAAGATTATAATAATAGAAAAAATTGTATCATTTATCAATTTAATAATAATTATAAAATATTTCTTGCAAGCCGACTAAACGAGATGCAACGCAAGTAATATAAATGCAGATACGATAGTTTTCTCTCTCAAAAAAGAAAATGTGCCCTTTTTTATAAATTCGTATAACGTAAACAGATTCGTATGCGTAAAATGAAACTACTTTATATATTTTCGACGTTGTATTAAAAATATCACGAAACATTCTTGTTCGTTATCGCAATTAACTGAGAGAGAAATTCTAAAAAATTTTCACGAAAAGTGTAATTGATATAAAAGTATCAAACAACGTCTATTATGAACAACGTCCAGGCAAATTTTGAAATCTGCGATATAGGTATCGCGTTCGCGATCGTAAATAAAACCGGCAGAAAACAGGCGCCATTTTATCGTCTGAAAATACGTGGGAAATGCAAGAGATGTTTTTTACGTAAACTTTTCATACATGCGCGCGCGCGTCCAAGTGCGACGACGAAAATATTCGGCGATGCTTCGAATACCCGGCATCGTGAGAAACTATTAAACACCGAACGAGACGAAACTTAATCAGACACGAGCGAGATTTCATTTGTTTATAAAAAATCTAATCATTTCTCAATGTATTCATTCTCATTAATAATATTCCAAATATCGCGCCGCTAAAAGTTTTCCCGCGCGAATGAGCGAATAGGAGCGAGTAGGACGCGTCACGTGACTCAGTCTAGCACTAGTAGCACTTGCCGATTAGTTCACGTCGTACACGTCACGTACATCATCGCGTCGCGGATGATTGCTCGGCCGCGTCGCTCCGCGTTTCCGCGTCTCTTTGACTGATCCGGGCGAATTTTGCGCACGGACAAGTGTCGAGTGTCGCGTTCGGCTGCGGACGATTGTCCCGGGGTGTGTGGAACAGTTGGTATCGATCGTGATCGAACGCGATTAACTCGTCCGTCGTTTCGGCATTCGCGATCCGCTGTCTGTCTCGCGTTTCGGCGTCGGTCGGCATGTCGGCACGTCGCAGTTTCCTGGTATAAACTTACAGGGCGTTGTGTATGGTTGGATATTTCACGTGTCGCGAGTATCGGGCGACCGACGTCGGCCGGACGCGGACGGGCGTCCCAAGTGCCGTGTTACTGCCGTTCAGCATCCGGGATCGCTGAAGGAGCGTCGAAAGGGAGCGTCGAGGGATCGCCGCGCGAGAGAGATTCGTCGGGACAGGGTGATTCCGCCGAGGATTACGCTTGCCTGCGATATTCGCTCGTGTCCGCCATAATCGCCCGAGACGTGATACTTTCCGTGATTTTCTCGTCGTTAAGTGGCGTCAGAATTGCCAGAAACGCTCGTCGCGTCTGACGATGACTCCGGTTAAATTAATCGGTAATTAATTTATTTCTCGTTAATTTCTTGTTTAATATGAGAGAGAGAGGGACAACGAATTACATGGTTGAAAATTTTATCTTAATTAAGCAATCCTGCCGATTAATACCTGTACTATTTTATTGACATAGAAAATTATTAATTTTTTGTTTAACACATAGAAAAACATATTAGATCACAAGCAATGTATAATTGGTGATTAATTTATTTCTGGTCAACTTATTAATTTCTTGTTTAATAATACATACGAGAAAAAATATTAGGAGCAACGAGTTATACATTTAGAAATTTTGCTTCAAGCTGCATTTTTGCAATTCTATTGAATTAATCGCTCCGATTAAGTTGATCGGAGTTTCGGGCGAAATCGTCCTAAATCGGAGTCGATGAATGCCGGATGAATCTGACGAGCAAACTGTACTGTATAATTGGTCCGCCGCGCGATCGCGACCTAACGTATGTCTCTCTGCATCCACGATTGGCATCGTTCGACAGAGAAATTCATTTACTGGTTTGCGCATTTCACGAACGCGTCCGCGAGTGTGTTGGAGTATATCCCAGGTGCATCGGAGAACATCAAAGAAAATCGTGGCGGATTATACGGAGTACAGAAGGCGAAACATTTCGGGTCTACGACACGCCGCTCGCAACACCGGATGACGGTGAGTGTACTTCACTTTTTTTTGCCCGCTAAATTATTACCGGAATATTTCCGTCATGCAAGGTAAAAAAGTTTGCTTGACATAGAGGTCCTTTCTTTTTACGGCATCTCTGTGGCTGACGTAAATAACGAAGTTGCTTCAGATAAACCTGATGTGATAAAAAAGAAAATATCAAGCGACACAAGTAGACACGAGTCGACACAAGTGTCGTTCTATCTTACGGTTACTCGTTGCCAAAAAAAAAGAGAGATAGAACGACGTTTGTGTCGCTTGTTGAAAAACGCGCACCAAGGGGTTTTTGATCAGTTTTTTTTACCTGTCGCGTTTATAAACCGTAATAAAACGTGTGTGTATCAAACAACATAATCGGCGACAAATGTATCTGTCTGATATATTCGTCTCGCTAGAGGCGAGTCTGGCGAATTTTCTCGCGAACCAAGTAAGTAAGGTAAATGAATCAAAAACAAACAGATTTAATTGTTATTTTTCAATTTTTATCGAACAACAAATTTTCCATGTATTTAATTAAAAAGCCGGAATGAATTTAAAAAAAAGTCGAAAGTCGTCGGGGCGCAACTGCGAAATTAAACGTCAAAAATGCAGGCCGATCTCTTGTATATTTCGCTATATCTATAAATTAAATCGTTGTTGCCCACCGGTCAACTACTCGTCAAAACTTTGAAGCAAATTTTTGCGAGGGGAAAAACTATAGGAGGAGCGGGGAGGGAATAGGAATGACGCGTGCACGCCCCCGTTTTCCCGCCAGCGGGCACGAATGCGATTTAAAAGTCAAATTCAGCGACCGTGAACGGGGACGATAAAGCGAGGCATTAAGTGATAAACGGAGGAGGAGCGAGGATGACGCGCCTCGCTAATAATTCACAGTAAGAACTCCGCGCGATTAATTAGGCAGACGCTGCCTGTCGCTCGGAGAGCCGGGGGAGGGCGACGTCGCGGCAAAATATCTAGCCGAAAATATCACCTCGGAAGGAGCCGTCTCCCTCGACTTCGGGCTTAATGAAGCGTTTTTTTTCCGAGGTTAATGCACGTTATCACGCTTCAAAAATAGAACGGAATGAATCGTCGAAACAGAATGGAAGGAATACTCCGATAAACGGGACGGCCGCGAATCGGGGCTCGACGTGTTCGATGAAACAAGCAACTTCGTGGTGCATCCGAGCGTGAAAATTGTACGAGCTAGGACGCGCCTTCGGTGAAATCAATTCCAAGTATTTCCATTTCCGCGGGGAAACTCCGAAAGAGTTATTGATAATGCATGCGTATTAAGAGACGCGACGCAACACTCGGAGATTTATCAAGTGCGACGAAGTATTTGCGTTAATTATTCGTGTGGAGATTTAAGAAACAGGATTAGAATGACGGATTTAAACTTGCTAAATTTCAAAGATGGCTTTTCGAGATGGCTGCGTGTATCGCGCGCGAAGCCACGCGGTTTCCGGTGCCGTTTTTCAAAAGATTAAGGATCTTGATCCCTTAATCGGCTTAATCGTTCGAATATTTCAACAAGAAATCTCCTTGTAATTATCATCTTTAATGCTCGGGGATCAAGATGTCTCGTAACTTTTAGGCAAACTTTAGTTACTTACTCGGGAGTTGTTTACTCAGCATCTCGCTCCGTTCCGTCCGTATTTATAAGACGGAGGCGCGTTGAAGACGAAGGTATGGGCGTTGATGGAACGTGCTACAGGTGCTACATATCAATTTCACAATTGTCGCGAGGGATAAAAATTGTAATACGTAATGCAGACGTGTGTACCCTTCGCCGTTGGGGAGCGATATCGCATCGGAAGCGATATAGCAGGAGAAAAATAATGTGGCGGCGTTATTTATAGTCCTGCTTCGAGCAAATATCACAAGCCACTGGCAGAATCCTCTTTTATCTAAAGGAAAGCAAAAGAAACTGACAGACATCCCAATTTCTTTCGTGTCCATCTCGAGAAAAATAACTACCGCGGCCGTCGGTTTTAACTTTAACATCAGATTTTATCGAATTTTTTCTCAATTACAACAAAACGGTTAATACTGCCCAGTCGTCCGCGTAATTTAAATTTGAACAAGGGAATATTAACTTTTTTAAAATTTCAATTCTAGATTCATTTACTCATTGTCAGTTTAGTCCATAAGTAGAAAATTGCAAAAATGAAAACCTTCCTCGCCATTTTTCTCAAGGAGATATTTACCGCAAGCTTGTCAAAAAATTGTTCGTTAAAATGATGAACTGATTCTTATGATATTCTTTATATGTGTTACGATTCTGCAAATAACAAGAGATTTGTTTATCGACGAGACCTGTCGAAAAGATTTGACACATTTCGACAATTAACGCGGCTCAGTTGACGGATCGTCAAATATAACAGGGAAACATTTCGGATACGGCATCATTTTTACCCATCATTCATTTTCAAAGGAAGATCCATCGCTATCGGTTCTTCTACAAAACTGCAAAACTGCAAAACATCAGCGATTCTACTTGCGCCACGCGGGCGCGCAATTTTTAAGCCCTTGCGCATCAACTATTTTCCGCTCTTAACACAGGCAGACAAGATTTTCCATTTTTTAATAGTCTGCTCTCGAATTCCCTTTTAGCGAAATGTTTATAAAGATGTCGTTTAATCCTCGCCTTTATCCGCGCAGCAAGATACGTAGAAAAATCGATAGCGACACTTTTAAAAGCATACACGGTAATACGCGCAAGATGTAAGCAACGCGGAAGCTTTCGCTCGAGACCCTTGCGCTATATTTTATCTTATAAGAAGGATATAAATAACGTCTGTGTGATAACAAAGCAAATTAAAATCGTTATCTCTATTCGTATAGGTACGAAGCAATTCATATTCCGAACGTATGTGTTCGCGCGATTCTCGCCCTAGGCAGCTTTGCATATATACTTTCCACACATTCGTATGCGTTTTCGATTATTTCGGAAATAAACGAAACGACGCGTGCAAAATTAGTATAATTCTCCGCTTTCTATATAGCATTCACCAGACGCGTAAAAGGAAACGACGCGGCAGCCCAATGATGCTTTTCGTGATATATATAAGTTATACCATGCACAGTGCGCACTGCGCCTAGGTCATTCTCGAGCCCTCTCGTCCAGCCATTATCCTTGGAGAGGATTCTGTGCTGCTCGTATATACCTATCCGTTCTGGCGCAAAAGCGGACGTACCGATTCTCGTACATTGAAAGCACCTCGCGTTGCTAGAGGCGAAAAAAGCACGCGCATCTCTTCAACAACGATAGAGAGGACAAAGCATGTTACGAGAGGTCTTAAGACTTCTTTTTTTATTCGAGGAAATGTGCGAATTAAATTCTCGCAGGAAATTAACGACGAGAAAAAGAGTGAGCTTGATTCACCTCTCTCTTCGCGCTGAGATATGAGCTATTAATTTAATTAATCTTTTAAAATATTATTAGTATTCATTTGGAACTGTGTAAATGATTTGTAATTTTGCCACGGAATTATAAAAGTTATACAAAAGTCCGCGACAAATATATACTTCCGAAGAATGGTGGGAAGAATTAATTTAAAAAGTCAAGATACTATGCGTCACGATTATAATGTCCGATTTGTTAGTAAAATGCATTCTGGGAATAAGAGTTTAATGCACTAAGCACTTGGTTTTTTTAATCTGAATCTTTGTTCAATATTTTTATCACATACGCAAAATATAGTTAGCTAATTCCGAATTTTATTTGTATAATATTGAAATAAAACGACGACTAGACAAGTATATTTAGCGATAAATGTATAATTCAAACATAAACTTTTTTTGTCTATTTATTAACACTTTTTATATCTAAAAAGTTAGTGAAAAAGGAATTAGCTATTCAAAAAAATAGATATCGGTTCGATATCGCAAAAATCTGTTAAATCCTCGACTCGGAACACCTAAACTGTTTTCTTTTTTTTTTCTTTTTTTTTGGGTAGCGCTGAATTACTCGAGAAAGCGTTCGATCTCGCAACCGATAATTCATTGTTAGGAGCATAAAGATACGGGAGGAAGGTGGATTGCATTGTATAACCAAGGTATTCGATTCAGCTACAAGCGTTTATTGAAAACTACCTCTTACCGAGTCCATATAACGTTCATATTGAATCTGTTAGAAAGCTTTTCGATCTTCTCTCAGCGCGATGCGATTAAGCGATTTAAATCGCACGTGTCAGCGGAAGCGCGTGGGTTCGCACGCGCAGCTGAGCGACAGTCGTAATATAAAACTTATTGGCGTTACAACATCTGGCAGTCCTAATTTCACAGCAGACATTTTGCAAATTCTCCTCTTTGACACAGATTTAGATGGGACAAATTTTATTTGCTCCTTTCTCGCAAGAAGTCGACTGCTGAATCTCCGACGACGAAATAATGAATGATGGGTTTCTAAAAGAGCTTGAAGACGACTTTCTTCCGAATCCTTAAAAATGAAGCTTCGAAATGTATTTTAAATTGAATCGAGGGATTTATAATAGAAAATATTATTCACAGATATATCAATATCTCGAGTTTTTTTATCGTTTTACAATTGAATTTTTTTTTACCTATATTGTTGTATACGCGAGATTTCAATATTGAAAGAAGATATACTTTGCTCGACCAGACAATATGTATACTCGGCAAAATACCGCGGTTGGCCGCAGTACGTCAATAGCTCTCATAATCATCTATCGAAAATCGATACCCAACGGAGGGTCCTTATAACATTTCGTCATTTCAAGGGTCTTCTCTGCTGCTTCTGTATCGGGTGCCATCCCGTGATGCCGAAGAAGCGAAACTTCGATCGTGCGATCGTAAAACAACATATAAGATTGCCACCTATATCAGAGTGTATTTTTTCTGCTTTATTGCACCATTACGATAAAGCAAACCGTTCACAAGTCGCGCGTGGAACAAAATAGAGCTTAAATGTGCAATCACTGCCAGGAGTATTCCTCGTAACTTATCACGTTAGAAGAGAATCGTAATTATATAAAATCTCAATA